TTATATCATGATGATTAATTAAATTTAAAATATTATTTTTTTTAAAAATTTTGTTGCACTCTTAAAGCATTTTGATTATTTTAATTAAATAATCTTAATTGGCACTTAATTTCTATTTTTTTAAGTGTAACAAGAATTCATAATGATCCAAATATAATTCAGAAGCATAGATCGGTCGAATATTCTTCGGCAGCTTCTTGAAAAAGACCAAGGAAGTTTAAACAGTTATATATTTTATACCATTTAATTAAGACACAATAACACGCCGAATAAATACTAATTCAGAAATCAAACAACAAAAATCAGCGTTATATTTTCAAAACTTTCACAGGACTAGTTTCGATGGTTTTAACGAACCACCATCCTCACTGCAGCTGCAGCTGAGGATGGTGGTTCGTTAAAACCATCGAAACTAGTCCTGTGAAAGTTTTGAAAATATAACGCTGATTTTTGTTGTTTGATTTCTGAATTACCATTTAATTAATTTTATTGAATTGTTTTTGTTTCACTTTAATTTTTTTTTTAAATTTTGATTTGAGTATTTATTGTTGGAAAGTTGCCCCCTTTTATGATTTAATTATTATTCTTTGATTATATATATGTATTTACGAATTTAATTATTAAATTTCTATTTATGATTATCTGCTAGGAAAGGAAGTGTAAATATATTACTGATTGAAATTAGGAGATGTTAAAACTTAAGAGGACTGTGATAAAACTATTAAAAACTTGTAATAAACTTAAGTTTAATATTTGCATTGGTATGTTTCAAAAATGTGCATTCTAAAATTAAAAAAAAAAGAAAAAGAATAGCGCATGTAATAAAAAATAAGGTAGACCAATTTGTTTGGTCTTAATAATTTTCTTAATTATGTATATATATATACTAAAGAAATATTGATTATATTATCTCCTAATATAATTTAGTAGAAATATCAAAAAAGAGTGAACCCATATGTAGGAAAGATCATACAACATTATATATATATATATAATTAAGAATAAATATATAATTACGAAAATATACAGCTACTCACCAGAACACAAGATTTTTTAAATTTTAATTTTTTATTTAAAAAATGTAAGCTATATATATATATATATATGCTGGAGAGTAGCGGTTTATTTTTTTAATTACATTGTTTGCTTTAGCACTTGGTTTTAGATTTAAATATTACTTATTTTCAGCTTTAATTCCAGTTTTATATACTAATTATAAAAATTATTTATTATTATTAAATGTGCTGTTTTTCGCCGTGCTCCCAAAATAAACTCTTATTGTAAAATGTATTCCCCAAATCAGCTAAGTTTAAAAAATATCATAAAGTACTGTACTGTCAGATTCGTTTAACGAAAAATATGCCCAAACGATCGTAGGAACAATAAGTTTTTTCCCTACAGATTACCGAAATGTTTATTTATTGTTTATTGAGAGTACGGCAAAGCACATTAGGGCTCTCTTCCTAAGGGGAGGGATGCCTTCTTGGAGGACCTTTCTAAGGGAAACTGTCTCGTATAGACGTTATGCATGGAGAAAAACAGGAAAACGCCCATTAAACCAGCTCGTTCGAGGGATTCAAACCTCGGACCGAACTACCAGTGTTCAGCGACTTTGCTGCTGGTGGGCCGAATGAAGATGTGTATCGATTAGTAGAATGTGAGTAGCGATTTAAAATAATTATTTATCATGCGTGTAGGACGTATTCAAAGTTAGTTTGCTATAATGAGCTCGTTCAAAGATATCTCATAATTTTGTAATAGATCTTCTTCCAATGTGAGATTAAATATAAACCTGTTTCTTAAGTTGCTTGATATTTAAGACATGTAGTGTAGCAAGATATTTCAGATGGGAAAACGAAGAAACAAAAATACGTTTTGAATTTCTGATACCTAGGGTGACACTTGAAATTGACTGACCACAGTATTAGGAAGTATGCTACAATTCTTTCATAAATCAGAATGTTTTGTTTTTATGCTTGGAGAATATAGTACTATGAAGGTAATTTCGGTATTTTTCGTAAGCTAATTTTCACACTTGGGGAATTCGTAATTCGTTTTAATTACAGTGATTTTTGCCACATTAGGAAATCATAGTTTAATTTTCACATTACAATATGTATTGCAAATGGTGTTATGTATGAGTACTATTTAAGTTTATTCTGGAGAGATAATATTTATGAGTACGTCATAAATCTGTATTTAATGCACAAAAATTTTGTTGGGTGCAAATAAGATTTTGTTGCCATTTTACGATTACTCAAAACTTTAATAAAACATACTAATGGGCTTGGTTTTAATATTTCCTGTTTAATATAGAGCGAATAACAAGAAAATAGAAAATTAATGAGCAGAACATGGCTCGATGGGTAAAATTCAATTAAAAACTGCGCTCCAACGTAGGTTTTAATATATTGTAGTCTGCATTTTAAGTTTAATCGCAATTATCTTTTGCATACACAATTATAATTTGAAAAGCACCATATCTCAATCATCACAGAAAATATTTCTTCCTATAATTCAATTGTTCTTAACAGTTTCAATGACCGATTATTTTGGTGAGAACACGGGAAAGATTAAATGGAGTTTTTCATTTAAAACTCGATTTTCCGGCCTTGGTTCAATAAATTGGCTTTTTTTAACCTTCAAAATTACACTTTAGGCTGGGGGGAAAAAACCGGACACATAAAAGCTTAAAAAAAAACTTAACAGTCGAGTTTAGAAGCATTTTAGCCTTTCATGACCTTCACCTTATATTCCATCATAGCGTTCCACGTTGTTTACAAATAAATACATCCGGGTAATTTTGGTTTGCAGTAACGCATTTTACCTGATTTCTTATTTAAATTATGCCAGGGCACCGGTAACAATAATTAAATGGTACCTTTCCTCAATGGGATCCCCGTATGTCAGGGTTACTATTGGAAATGTGAAACACGGGTAGCCTTCAAAAGAAAGTCATTTAGCACTTCCATTGCAGTATTTTCGGAACGCGTTTGATGATTCAGAACGTAAAGATATAAAATCTGATATTATAATAATGTTTTTTAACATGTTATTTTTTATGATAGTTTTTATACGTATCCCTATTTCTATATATTTGTTCATCTTGTTGCTGTTTTGCCTTTTTATTCGATAAATGGCCATTCGTTTAAACGTGTAGCCTATTTTTGACCGACTGACTAAAGATTCTAATATCTATTCTGTTTTCGGGACTATTGAATCCCTGCATTTAGGTAATCATTCGTATTTCATTAATTCGTGTCATAATTAATAAACACAATTTAATAATTATAACTATAGATCTATAAAAATTAGCTTCGAAAGCGATTGTATTTTGGCCAAAGCCTCCGAGAAAAATGCATCAACAACCAAATGATCTCAAAGAAGGAAAATGTTTTCTAGCTATTTTTTTCTGTAGCTGACCTGAATCATTTATAGTTTTAAGCAGAAGATCCGATAAAATGAGTCTTGAGGGCCCACCAGTCGCTTAGAGTTACAGTAATTGAGTTCGACCTGGGTTAAAATCCTAACCAAATGGACTGGCTGCATGGGAGGTTTCGTGCTTTTTTTTTATTCGAGAATACAAGCTATTTTTTTTCCTTAAAACGTGCTCCACGAAGGAAACCCTTTCCTTTGGCGAATAGCCCTGGGTACGTTACCATAATCCTTCCCTTCACCCGAAAGCAGTCAATCTTTAGACACAGGTTTACAGTAGAGCAAAAAATACAATACAAACCCTCTACTTATTATAAGTGATATACGGAGTAGTAAAAATAGTCCCCGAATGATTTTAAGAACTGTAATTTTATTTGGTCATTTTTGCAGCATTTTTTCTCAGTACAAAAGTTAAACAAACATTTTGCGCTTGCTTTTTGGAATTTTCTAATAAGTTTTCAGAATTTGCTAGAATGTCGTAAAGTGACTGGATTATTTTAAACATTAGAAACGTTTTTAGTGAGTATCTTCCAAAAATTTTTGAGCTGTATGTTATGTTATGTACCAAGTACTTACTATCTACCGCTTTGGCAAATGTTGCCTCTGTGACAGTACTCCATCACTTTTTACTGATGAAAAACTGTTTAGATCACCAGTAACCAATTCTCCCAGACAGTCACTGAAAATGAAAAAAGTCTGAAGAGAGCTCTTAAGGTAATTTCATGTACTAATCCTAATGCTGATAATATTGAGGCTTTTTGCACTGTACATTACTATTCCTAATTCAAAACTGTCTACTACGAAGTATACTGCTCAGTCTTACATAACGTTAAATTTCTAACGCGCATATTTTCTTCACACTATCTAACCTGTTATCTTATAAACGTTATTTAAATATTTCTGTGAAATATTATTTGGTACTTGCATGTATTCTGTAAAATGTTTCTATAATATCTGACACCGTATGTGTTTCTATGAAAATAATTCTATGATTTATGCAGTGCAACTTTTAAGATATGGTATAATGTTTACGTGTAGCAACACGGAACTCCAATAATTTTTTTCAAGAGTTTTGCATGCCTAAGTAACTCAGCAATATTTGTTAAAATTCTGCAAAACGTCCAGCCCTCCTGGGCCTTGGACTTGGTGCACAGAGTAGATTTCCTCTTGCAGAAGATACGCAGTAACTGCCTAAGCATAATAGCCCTTTGCCCTCACAGGTTGCAGAAGCAGAGTTACTGGTGACCATGAGTTTGACGTCCCTGTATTTTTTAATCACGTTCAACATTGTCCTTTGGTTTCATTCAATTTTAATTATTTCTCGAAATTTACTACTCTGTTCCATACCAGTGACCTTACGAATTAGCTATATTTCAATCATAAGCCAAATTGCATTAATTTTATAAGGCTTAAAATTTTATTACATCAGATTTTTGAAATGAATCTTCAAAATTCTTTTTAAAGTTTGCGCCTAAATGAAAGTTGCAAGTCAAAAATATTGATATACACTTAAAATGAAATAAATATTTACTTATTTTATAATCTATTATTTTTTTAAATTTCAGGTAAATAAAAATGTTGAGTTTATTGAAGCAAGTATTACTGATATATTTTGGTTTTGTGACTACTGGTATCACTTGTCAATATATTAAAAATTCTGGATCTTCAACATCTCAGAAAGCTAGAGAAATCCCTGGAACTTCTAATGATTTTCAACCTTCATTTGGTTCAAGATTATCAACTTTTTATGGAAATAACCATCACTCGCTTGGAAAAGTTATAGCTTATCCTGCAGTTTCAAATATAAATCGATCAGTTAAGTACAGAAATCAGTCACAAAGATCGGTTCCTTTCCAAATGTTCACACAGGAAGATCAGCCACTTGATGGGTCTTTTAGAACAAAGCAGAGTGCAAAGGCAACTGCCAGTCTTGATGAAAGCAAAAATAGCTATCCTGTAAATATATCAAATAGTTCCTCAGTGGGAAATTACAGAAGATCAAATATCCCCGCACGTTTGAATGATGCCAAGTACCTTATACCGAAGAGTGCGAAGAAGAAACTAAGAAAGAAACAAAAAGAGATTCAAGTAATTTCGAAGTCAGATGCAAAAGTACAAAATGCAGGTTTACATAACTTTTCTGAAAATGATTTTTCTTCTGTCTTTGATAATGCTCACAATTTCCTGTTTGATAGCCAAAAATTGCCCATCCTTCTTGAAAGGCAGGACCCACGAACGCTTGAAAATGACTCTGGAGAAGAATTGACACTCCCTTGTTCTTGTCATTACAGCCAAGAGGAATGTGGCTGCAACTGCACAGGTTCATTGTCATATGATGATTTCCAGGTAAGCTAAAGCGTTTATGAGAATCAACTGAGAGCTAATTTGAAAGCGTAAAAGAAACCAAGCTTAATATTTATAACAGTCAGTTGTCAAGTAGAAAGAATTTAATTAATTGCTTAAAATTAAAATCACTTCTTGAGGTTTTCTGATTCGTAAATAAAGACACTAAAAAATTTCCAAATTTCAAAAGCAGAAAATTATACTCAAAGTAAATTCTATTTTTTTATTAGTACTAAACACATTAAACTGTTGCACGGAATTTTCGTTTTAAATAATTGTGTCAATTTTTTTGAAATAGCTATAATTAAAAAATTAAAAAAAGAGACGTAAAAGTGTTTTATTTACATAACTGTAAGTTCAAATCTTAAAATTAAAACTGACATACAGAATGGAAATGTAAATGTTTATTTGGTCTGAAAACTATTGCACTGACAACAGAGATGCTTTCTTAAAGCTGATGTCAATGTGAAATCTTACAGTTACTTGAGATAATATAGTCTATCTTTTATTAACGGAGACTCCCTGCTAGACAAAAGCTCTGGTATCCTCTAGTGGATTGGATTAGGATTATTCAATTATGGCAAAGCACACGAGGGCTATCTGCCTAAAGGGAGGGATGCCTTCGTGGAGGACTTTCTAAGGGAAACTGGCTCGTATACACGTTACACATAGGAAAAAACACGAAAACTACCATGCAGCCCAGCCCGTTCGCGGGATTCGAACCTCGAACCGAACTACCAGTGTTCAGCGTCTTTACCTCTCGGCCACTGGTGGGCCGGTATCCTCTAGTGATGCCGGGATATTTTCTAGTTCGAGTGCATAAATATCATGGATAAAAGTCTTAAAGAAAAAGTGCAAAATTATTCCTTACCTTCTTCAGCAGCAGTTAAATACCATTCTCACTTAATCACGTGTCCTCCACGTCATCTAGACGAGTTCATTGAAAAATATGGGGTAGTCATCACGTTTTGGCTCGTCAGTATAGTCACTGGGAGGAGCAATTTATTCTCAGAAGGTGCTTTCGATATAACTCAAAATACATAATATAGTATATATATCATAGACAGGCTAAACTAAAGTACATGCCACATATAAGCTAAACGGAGAATTCTGCTCAAAAATACGAATTTTATTTTAAAACTCAAAATCCTAGTTTGAGTTATCCTAAAAGGACTTGGAATTGTAATCTATGTTCGTTAACCTTATAGCCCTTATTGCACAAAAATTAAAGGCTGTCGTTATCAAAGAACAAACGGAATTCAAGAGATCTCAGATTTTTCACATTTTCTAATTTTTAATTATTAATAAATATCAGCGTTGGTCTAGTTCGGAATTAAATTGAAAGGATTAAATTTATTTTAGTAGCATAGGACTTAAAAGAACACTTCTAGCTAACGCAAAAGTATTTGTTGTTAAAAACCTTCCATTCTCAGTGTATATCATCTGCGATTTTTATGTACTTTGGTAAATTTATATAATGATTAAGCCATTTTACTCTTAGGTGTTTTATGCTAGGTTTGCCCTCCTGAATGTTTCTTCCTCGAAAACTCAAATATTTGAAACCAGTTGCCGTTCACAGAGGGTTCTTTCCTGTATTTATTGTTAAAGCATTTAAAAATCTCTCTTTTTATAATAAACAATAATTTGCTATTAGAAATGACAACAATAGCCTTGTTGTTATCTCATTTTATTCTTTTACTAGTTGTCAAAATATTTCTGAAATTCTCCAGAAGTTCAACTTCCTAGCATCCATCAGTAAAATTCGACGCTCAATTCTTATCAAAACTAAAAGAGCGTTAAAATTTCGTATCAAAGAACACAAATCCTGTGTTCGAAAATTAGGAATAAAAAATACATTTGACTGCTAATCACAGTTCGTTACTTAATCACAATTTTAACTTTGGTTCTGCTAAAATTTTTCTACGGCGTTTCTTCAGTTAATTAACTGAATTTTCTCTCACATTTGTATCAGTTTACAATCTTAAATTTATGGCATTAATGACATTGATTCCATTTCATCTTTTCTTTCTTTCTTTTTTCCCCCAATGGTGAGCATATAACGATATTGGCTTCTCCTAAGGCCAGAAGGGATGGCCATTTTATTGTGGAGGCACCTAATAGGCGGCCACCGCTATCTCCTATTAAAGGGACAGGCGATTTTACATCCATGCTTTTTCTGAGATTCTAACCCGGGCCCTTCGGTATCGCAGTCAGGCTCCTCTAATCACCATACCGTCTGGGTGGCTTCCATCTTTTCTCCATACTTTCAAAATTACGTTTTCTTTGAATCTCCGCCTACAGATTTCATTAAATATGATTCCCCATTTAATTTTTTTTTTGTCCTGAAGATAAGGAATATTTGCTCTACTGCTCTCGAAGTCAATAGAGTTTTTATTCGTTATAACTTCTGTTGTATTTTTAGAGAAGAAATGTAACTTTTAGAAAATATATTTATTGTTTTAAGACTTCACTTATTACAACCATTATATGATAGGCAAACATTTAAAAAATATTTTATCATTTGGAAATCTATTATTGCAAAATTATGAAAACCATGTTCTGCTTTATTTCATGTATGTTTAGAGATGGAAAAATACAATAAATTAATAAATTAATTCCGTATAAAACTGGACTCGATTATACATTTTGATATAAAATGGTGTGATGTCGTCTAGTTAATGGAAGCAATAGAGAAAAGTATGAATGGGTAAAAAATTTGGGAAGGAGTGTAATAGCATATTAAAATTCTGTTTATTTGATTTTTTATCATTTTAATTCTACTTGCTATTTAAAGCCAGTTTCGCTTATTTCTTTCCAGTTTAATTTCATTCACCGAATAAATCCTGTTTAATTAATTGTCAATGAATTATTAATTATGGTAATAAAGTATCAAACTTATTTTCGGTATCATATTTCGTTTAAGGAACTCTGTATTGTTGTATTGCAAATATTTGTATTGTTGTTAATATAATTTTAATGTCAGTTTTCTCTAGCGAAATTTTTGTGAAAGTTTACATAATTAAAACAAAGTAATTTCTTACAGGATTTATCAAAATTATTTCGTTCTTGCTCAAGATTTTCTTTTCTCTTATCCGATGGTGATTATTATGCTTTTCCACCTAACTTATTCTACAACGTTGGATGTGTCGAACATTTCAACTTGACATTATCAAACGCAACGTTTGATTACCTTTTCGACCCTTCTCCATACACTTCTGCTTTCGGAGGAGTCTGCTTTCAAAAAACTGGACTCGTTAAGTTACGTAAGGTGAATGTAAGAAGAGCCTGGAACTGGACACCGCTGGAGCAACTCAAGAAACCTTCTGGTTCAACAATGGACATAGAAATAGATGGTTGTGGCCTCAAGCGCTTGTCTTCAGATTTCTCCAGAGTGTCTGGAGAAAGCCTAAAGACCCTCAGCATATCAGACAGTGAACTGGAGATGTTAGGAAGCGGGGCATTTGCACGTTTTGAGCGTATGGTGCAGATTCGATTGCCAAAAAACCGTTTGCAATCGATTCATCGAGGAGATTTGCCGCCTAATGCCCAAGAGCTTCAAGAAATCGACCTCAGGTAATCAAAATCTTTTTCCAGCTCTTCTATTTTGCAAATATGGTTTACATTTTATTTCATAATTTATGGAAATATTTTAGGGCAAATTTTTCATTTCAAATTTGTTTTAAATATATCTTAATTAAGTGTTCCTTAAATGCGAAAGCAGGGTTCTTTTATTTAATTAATGATGATTTACTATGTACAGTTTTAGAAATTTGGGAAGTGTCTGAATTTATGTGATAAATTTAATTCTATTAGAATATTCGAAATAAATGTTGAAAACTACTTGTCTTCCAGCATACAGGACACTAGTTAAAGAGTCTACCACTAAATGTGTATAAAACAGTTTTTTTAATCACCTAGATAATGAGTTTATTACCATAAATAAGTTGCCTTAAGTTTATATAGAAACTCAGTTGAGCAAATCCATGTGCTCACGAGTTGTCATCTACCATATTTGTTTTCCAGAAAACTGGAGAGTCTATTAAGGTTTTTTTGGAGACGAAATATGAGACGACTGAAATATGGATTGTTCAGTTGCTAGCTGCATATTCAAATCACCACCCTGTTAAGAGGAGTACGGCAAGAATGCTTTAAAATAATCCTTGCGGATATAACTCCAACGTGAATATACACTCTTCAAAAGTGAAATTGCAACAGCAAGAAAGAATGCTCGTAGCGTCCTGCAAATCGCAGGATTGAGAGTAGTGAGATGGATATGCAAATGATTAAAAAAACAAACGCATAAAATTATTATAAATCAATTTGTTCAGTATCTAATGTGCCCACCTCGGGCAGCGATACAGGCCGCAATCCGGCGAGACATGCTATCAATAAGTTCATTGATGGTTGCTTGAGGCAGCCTTTGTCAAGCCGCATACATTGATCCACAGAGATCATCCAGGGTTTGCGGCCGTGGTCCTCGGTTAATGTCACGCCAAGTGACATCCCACAGGTGTTCGATGGGCTTCAGATCTAAAGAGGCTGCTGGCCTCAAATCCGGTCTGGCCGTTAAGAGTACACAGTGTGACACGCAGCTTAGCGTTGTCTAGAATACCGTGTTGGGGGCACCCTGCAACTAGGGCAGAACAACAGGCTCCACAGCTTGCGTGACGTAGCGGTCCGATATGAAACTGCTGTTAATGTGTATCAGGGCCGTCTTGTGATCAAACATTATGCCACCCCAAACCACGATGCCCAGTGGAGGGGTGTGACGCTCGGCGAAATGGGCTGTTTTTTAGCGTTTTCTGGGTTGCCAACACATCCTTCGATGGCCGTCATTCCTCCACAAACAGAAACGAGATTCATTCATGAACAAAAACCGATGGCATTCGATGGTCCACACACTATGACGCTGACACCACACCAGGCGTCTAGTCTTTTGTTCAGTAGTCAATGGTACCCCTGTTGTCTGGTACCCTTGAATGTAAGTGTACTTCATGCAGTCTGTTGCGTACAGTTTGGGTGGACACAGATTCACCTGCTCCTGGAGGCAACCGGTTTTAGATGTCACGTGACGTGGAAAAAGGGTCTCTTACAGTTGACCGCCGAATACGCCGGTCTGTGCGCTCTGAGGCGCACCACTTCCTCTTCGACGAGCATGTACACCTTCCTGGAATCCATCATATGGCACAACGTTGGATGGTATTCACGTTGGGCCCAACACGAGTGCTATTGTGCTCAGCGGCAAACCAAGTTCATGGCGTTCGATAATACGGTCACGTTTCCCGGTCGTTAACTGATGGTATTGAGCCGATTGAGCTCGCCGACGTCTCAGAGGCATTTTCTATGCTTCTTCTAAAGTCTCCAATGCTTCGCAAAACCTCAGATGCTGCTTATGAGAAGGGAAAGTGGCTGAACTTTATAGCCCTTATATGCGTACCACGTGATCCAATGCATCAGAAACTTTTATCATTTGCATAACTTGCAATTTGCATGACGCTACGCGCATTCTTTCTTGGTGTTGCAATTTCACTTTTAAGGAGTGTAGTCCAGTGGTATGGTCCAATGGTTGAACATAATCCATTTAATCATTTTGCAGTTTTAAGATAATTTTCCTATATTTCCTCAAAATCCGATCGAAGTTACTTAATTGTTGATTTTTCCGCTAATAATCCTATGTGCTATATCTGACTTCGAATCTAAAATTTTCTGAAGGACACAAAAACCTTGTCTAAAACCTAAAGGTTTATTTAACTGGAACTTCAACACTGATGAAAACTTAACATCATAAACGAAAACTTAACATCTTGGGCGGTAAATATTCAAAGTGCTTTAAAGTAACAGCTATGCCGGCACGGTGAAGAACACTTTCCCTTAAAAGCCAGAATCCATCTAGCCCTTTCGGCATGTATCTCCATTCGCTGGATTCAGACTTCCGCTCCTACGTGTTTTGGACTTATACGGCCAGGCTGGAACTGGAATAGGACTGGATCAGGACCGGAACAGGACTGGAACAAGACGGGAACCGGAACAGGACGGGAACCGGAATCTCTCATACCCTGGCTTCTCCCCCGGGCAGGTCAACTCTGGCTCGAACTAAAAGGAACTGCGGTGCCACTAAGGAAAAGCACCTCCTTTTATTGCCGGCGGTTGCCGTTACTAAAGGCGATTATGATAATATTTAACATAATAATAGACATCAGAAAGTGATATAAGTCAGTAACTTAACTATCGAGTAGTGAATTCTGAGTCTAAGGACCTGTAACATAATGTATTTAACTAATTAAAGTTTCAGTTAGGTAAAAAGCATTTTACTATTGTATGTGTATAGGAGCATGTAAAAAGTTAGATTCTATGTTTTCAAAATCTTCCTATCTTTAACGTTGAGAAACAACTATCATAAAAATATATAATGCATTTTGAGAAGCTTGAAATGCATGTCTAATGCTTGAAAGAACATGTCTAAAATCAGTATTAGAAAAATAAAGGCTGTAGTCATTTTCTTCGAATATCCTATACATATATGAAAAACACGATTAAAATTATTTGAAGTTTAAATGTGTTGGTAAACAGTCTGACACACGCAGTCAAACACGTAGTCAAACACACGCAGGTGCTGCATTTGTGATCAGTTCTGCGTAATGTTTTAAAATAAACAATGCTAGCATTCACCATCTACTTTTTACTTGCTCTAACGATTCTATCGACCATAGAATATGAGATTAAAGCGCATAGGATTAAAACATAAACAATTGTGGACGAAGGCACATACCTCTATAAATAAAATTAAGCAGTACACGAAGTCTTGTTCTGAATAACAAGAAAAGAGAGAAATATATATTGCTAAGTTCCATCTCCTTAGATAGCACCATTTCCCTAGAGAATATTATTGTGTACGTTCGTCATTTATTACTAAAAGGCTCAGAGTTTTACACTATTAAATAGATCTGAGCCTTCATATTTTCTTTTATATAAATATGAATTTGTAATGAGCATCACTACAGAATGACACAGAATAAAGCTACATACCTTGATTCTGTGTCATTTGGAAGAGCATGGGTACCCCTACTTAAAAAGAAGGCGACGCCATGTTGATTTCGAAATGGTAAGGGGAAGAACGAAAAAAATATTTTTGACAGGACCCAGCTATTTTTTTAAATAAAGTATTAAGTGCGATGCTTCTTATTTTAGTTTTGGTTTGTTAAACTAGAAGCTTCCGTAGCAAACTGACCAAACGGAGACGCAGCGCGCAAATATCTGCGGATTCCGAAACTTTTGCTTAGCAATATCAGTCCTTTTCTTTGGTTATGATTATAGAAGACATATATTCGGAAGAAAATGACTGCGTCTGATCTGTTGTAGAGACATTAGGTAATTTTTTGGAAGCAGAAGAGATGAAAAATTAGCAACCGCCTTCGCCGGGAATCGAACCACGGACTTCTGAAATACTGGCCCAGCGTGGAGAACCACTACACCACGAAGGCACGCTAGGATGGCGGGAGAAATATCCTATATACTCCCCCTTTTAAAGTGCGACTGTGGTTTTTAGGTGACCCAATCGCCATATCCTGAGTGTGGAGAACCATTATCCAACACCCTTTTAGTTTGGGAGCCACTGTAGAGACATTAGGTATTTTTTGGAAGCAAAAGAGATGAAAATTTTGAACCCCCTTCGCCGGGAATCGAACCGCGGACCTCTGGAATACCGGCTCAGCGTGTAGAACCACTACACCAGGAAGGCACGCTGGGAAAGCGGGAGAAATATCTTATATACTCCCCTTTTTAAAGGGCGACTGGGGTTTTTTAGGGGACCTAGTCGCCAAATCCTGGGTGAGGAGAATCATCTTCCAACACCCTTTTAGTTTGGGCGCCCCTGTAGAGACATTATGTAATTTTTTGGAAGCAGAAAAGATGAAAAATTAGCAACTGCCTTCGCCGGGAATCGAACCACGGACCTCTGAAATACCGGCCGAGCGTGCAGAACCACAACACCCCAAAGGCACGCTTGAAATACCTTATACTGTCTTAATTGTATTTTGTGTAATCAGGTATAGCCAGCTGTTTGAAGTAATAATATATTTGTCTCTGTCTGAATTTATTTTGTCTCTATTTGTCGTTTGAGTCTGCATTCATTCGGATGTAGAATAAATTTATTCTGGGTGACATTTGACGATGGGAACAAGATTAAGTTTATTGAAAACTGCCGTCCAGATAACAACGTATAAAATAAAAGAAGATTACACCTGGAACAGAGTCAATAATAAGGCACAATAGCTTATACTAAAATTCTGGATTTAAGTTTAAGCATTGTAATCATCAGTGACACTGACCATATGAATGCAGACATTCGAAAGTTTAAGTGTCCTGAATTAATATTTTGCTTTCAGACTTAAATTTTCAAACTCTAAGATTCTTGTTATTTCATGAGCAGACCATTTTGAGAGAGATAAAGATTAGTTTTACAGAAATATCTCAATTTTAGGTATAATCGACTGGAATCTATTGAGAATGATCTTTTTCAAGATATGCCATCCTTGAAAGTTATATCTCTTGCCGGAAATCCAATTCGGATGTTATCAGAGAGCACGTTTGGTGCCGTTATTGGGAAGACATTCTTACAAGGAGTCTCTGGTAACTATGGCTTATAATTAGACTCATTCTTTTAATTTTAAATAGTAGCGTAATTATTTTATTTTCAGCTTGTTGTGCTTTTGCATATTTTAACATTTATTATACATTTATAGTAATCATGTATGAATTAGTAAAAAATTGGGCATAGACATGCTTCTTTGTTGAGAAATTCTTCAGCCCTGGTAAAATTATTTCGCATGCATTTTTGACACAGTACTTTTCCGCTAGTACTAATATAATAAAGCCATTGGTTCGTTAACCAATGACTTTTATTATATTAGTACTAGCGGGCAATCCCTCCTGATGAACGGAGACGAAAACTGTACAGTTGCGGCTAAAGCAAAATTTATAAGTTCTGTGTACACTTGAGAAGAAAATTCACAAGAAGATTTCAATATGAGTGAAATCAGTTTATTCCTTCGAAGCAACAATCTAGTCGTAATTAATTTTTTTGTTGCTATAGCAGGAACAGAAAACTTTTGGAACTTCATGCTAATACGTATACATATGAAGTCATGATTTAAATGTAATGAAATATAACAATTTTTCTCTCAATATCAATAAAAAATTAACGTGACAATAACATATCGTATTAATTATCCTAACCTGAAATAAAAAAGTTGCCTATTTAAAATGCTGACTTTAACGAAACATTTTCAACATAAAATGACGTCATATGGAATAGCTTTCTTTCTTCAATGTCAGAATATGACCTAATGTAATAATAATATGTTCAACGTTTGGCAATGTTATTTTTAGTCCAAATGGGCTATTGTTTTCGTTTTGCGATTTTGTGTTGAATGTGCGTTTCACTTTTTCAAACTGTTGCCACCAGATGTTAGAGTCTTGTATTGTATTTGAAGAAACTGAGTAATGAAAAATCTGCATAAATGTATGTCTATTTCTCGCAGTATGATAAAACAACGGTTCATAGAGCCATCGCATTTTGAATTACGTAATCCTCCTACGAATATGGGCATATGGGAAGACCAAATTTGAAATTTGGAATTTGTTTTATGATCAATTTCCTATTTTGTAAAACTTTAACGAATTTTTGATTAACAAACTCAAGGATTTCAAAGCGAGCAATGGCAACATTCTACGGGGGGGGGAACTTTTTATCTCCAGCTCGCGGAACTGTGTAACGGAAATTCTAAAGATAGGCTCATTTTAAAATTATTTTGAGACATTGCTGTTGAACTGAATTTAATGGTTTAAGTGCAAAGAACATGATATATAATAAGTAAAGGTAACACACAAAACGTTAAAAAGACGCCCCTTTGGACGTAATTTAAAATCTGAAACCTTTAAGATTTTTTTATTTCGTACTTTATAAAACTTAAAAATATTTGATTAACAAACTCTATGACTTGAAAGCGAGCAGACGTTTATCTCTAGCACGCGAAACTGTTGTCACTTGAAAAAAATGGAGTGCGATAAATGAGTGTTTTTGAGAGTTTTTAATTAATGTCTGAGTTATTAAATTCGAAAGAAAATGAGAATCGTCGAAATGGAAAATTTTCTTTCGCATGCTAATGATATGTTTGAAGGGTATAATAGAATTATCCATCATTGGATATGAAGATCCTTTGTGAGTAGGAGTAGCAATAATTCTTTAGTATAACATTCGTCACTGAAGGAAAATAAAATTGACATAAAGGACTCTATTCCTTCTTAAAAAAGATATGTGTGTGTGTGTGTGTGTGAATATGGCAAAGCCTCGAGGGCTATCTGTCTAAGGGGAGGGATACCTTCGTGGAGGACATTCTAAGGGAAACTGGGTCGTATACACGTTACACATGGGGAAAACCACGAAAACGCCCATGCAGCCAGCCCGTTCGCGGGATTCGAATCTAGGACCGAACTAGCAGCTTAAAAAAGATAAACCGGTATCTATGTTGCCCTTTCTTTCTGATGAAAATCATCAGCAACCTTTTCATCAAAAGATAATTATTAGCACTCCTTCAGTTCCTGGACAAATCTTAGCTGGCTCATTTCGGCAATATTAAAATCATAACAATAGAAAAGCTTCTTTATATTGATTATAGTCTTTATAGTTACACGGTTACTCTATTATTAACGGAAACATAACTCCGCAGCTTTTAACTAAAAATTAAATTGAATGAATAAGCTAAATTAAATTGAATAAGTTAAATTGAGTGAAGAATATAACGTTAATCAAGCCTAGACTAAGTTTTAGCTGCTCTTCATTAATTATTAGTGTCTCGCAGAATCTGATATTAGTGTCTCGTAGAATTCACGGCAAACAAATCTTTGGTGGCAAGCTAATTAAGCTAAAGTAGCAGAAATCTGTAGTAGGATTACAACCAGTCTACGCTGCTAAACGGTCAGTGACAAATTTTGAAATTTGAAACGCATTTATTTTGCATTCTGGTAGAAACTGACGAAAGTAAAAATATGGAAAAGCTAAAATATGACTGGTTTAATTAAAAAAAACATTATTTAGATAAGGGTATAAAGAATAATTCATTATTAATTATTTTATTTTATGAAAATAAATGCATTTTATTAATTTTAATGGGAAATATATATTTATTGCTTTAATTAAACGAAAAAGTACATCTTTGGATGTCTGAAATGTATCTCCCCATTTACATTATACGACGAAATTTGTTTATCCCGATTTGATTTACGATAGTAATGCAACACTGCTTTAAACGTGGGTTGTTTGATATTTCCTCTGAGGAATTTCGGATAAACATAACTCTTCTTTACATACTAAAGTATTTAACTCCTTTTATTCCCTCTGCAGCAAATGTTATAATGAAATCGTGTTGATGCATCAGGCAGTTAATTAATTAACATCGAACAGCGTTTCAAACAATTACGTAGTCTCTACTGACTCTTTTAAAAAGGGTTTAGCCCACACTGAATAATTAAGTTAAACAACAAGCAAGTAACAGAAAGATTTGAAAGTTCATTAAATGGTAGATGCTAAAGTACATTTCTGACTAATAGCAGAATAAATAAGATTACTAAAATTTAATATAATAGAAACTTGTTTATTCGAATTAGATGGAGAAAATTCATACTCAATAATACATTGTTTGGGTAATACACGGTAAAGTTCCTTTTCCTAAATCATGGACTAGCTCATTATTTGTACTAATATTATTGTTTTCGGTAATAAAATTTCTTCTAAATACATTTTGAATTGAAAAATTTAACTTTTTTAAATCTTGTAATTTTCATTTAAAACCTTAAAGGAAATAATATCCACTTACTGCTGCCAACGAAAATTAGGAATTTTTTATTTTTGTTTCATTTATTACCTTTCAAACTACACTCATGTTCATAAATTAAGGATAATGCAAAATCAGGCAAAGGAAGAGTTAGAAGCAAAACAAATTTGACTTATTTGTAAAGCTTATTTATTAAACAAAAGATAAAGAGAAAAAAGATGCTATATGTTTGATATTATAAAAAAAATTAGCGATTATTTCTCCCTGGAGCAAATTTAAAAAAAAAGAAAAAAAAAAAAAAAAAAAACCTATTTACAAAAAACCAATATTACATGGTTGGTATGATTGTTAATACATTGTATGTCTCCCAGACGATGCAATACAGTCCGTACAACGCCTAGGCATGCTGAGTATCAAATTATTGATCTGATCTTGGGGGATATTACACCACTGAAAAAGCAATGCTCTCCGAAGTTCAGGTAGACATGTAGGAGGAGGTTGACGGGCTGAAACTCGTCGGCCAAGCATGTCCCACACGTGGTCTACTGGATTCAAGTCTGGTGAAGAATGCTGCCAGTCCATACGGGTGATATCCTCCGATTGAAGGCATTCGCTTACGATGTTTGCACGGTGAGGACGGGCGTTGTCATCCATAAACACAAATTGTGCGCCCATGGCGCCCCGAAACAAACGTACATGTTGTTCCAGAATGACGTCCCGATAGATTTGGCTTGTCATGGTTCCAATTTGAATATGCAGGTCAGTTCTGGAACCCAGAATAATTCCACCTCAAACGTGCACTCCTGCACCACCGTAACGGTGTCGTTCAATGATGTTCTTGGTGGTAACGGGAACCTGGAGATCTCCATATGAAAGTCCGGCGTGAATCAGACTGCAAGCAAAACCTGGCTCGTCGAAAAATATAACACAAGCCCACTGTTGCGGTGTCCACAATGCATGCTCTCTACTCCAGGCTAACCGCAGGCGACAGTGAGTTGCAGTAAGTGGAACGCATCTGAAAGGTCTACGAGCATATAGACCAATCTGACCTAAGCGTCTGTACACGGTCTGCCTTGAAATTGTCGTACCAGTGGCTGAAGAGAGCTGACGAGACAGGTCTGAGGCTGTGCTCCGCCTGCTTCTTTTGGCAGTAACTGCCAAATACCGGTCCTCCTTCGGCGTTGTAACTCTGGGGCGACCTGTGCTGTAACGTCTACTCACATTACCATCATCTTGGAATCGTTGCCAAAGCCTGGAGATGACACTCTGGGCAATTCCAAGTTCGTCTGATACTTCCAGTTGGGTACGCGCACTTTCCAGACGGCCGATAATTCTACCACGTAAAAAATCATCCAAATGCGTCCTTTGTGTCATAACTATTCGGTTATTGCACTGAAATGCTTATAAAGCGCCTGTGAACAATTTTACTTCTTTGCCTGTATTCCTTATATATCACTTTCTTATACTCTCGTCATTATGACGTACCATCGGTGTCATCTGGTTACTTCCTGAAATTTGCATATGATTCTTGAAGATGTGTGTAGTGATTTTACAGGTGATATATTTATTTTAGAGTTCTATTTCCGCGTGACTCCGAATTATCCTTAATTTATGGACATGAATATATTTAAATAAGATTTTATGGATTGAGTTGGACATGCTCCCAATGATAATAATGTTAATATTTTAATCTCCAATGTTGATATTTTAATCTAGGAAACATGTAAAAGAGTGCAACTTACAAAAGTACATGAAAAAAAGTAACGTAAAATTTTAAATAGCCGAAACCGAAACTGT